TTGGAGATGAATAAATATCTTAAGATTTCTGTACAACAGAGAGTTTTTTTTAAAATGTTGAAAATGCATTTTAAGTAATTTTCTATTTTCCAAAATGTTGTGCTTTAAAGAGTGTCTCTTATAGACAGCAGAGTTACACAATAAAGAAAAATATTTTTTTTAAAAACAAAATTGCAACTTAAGATAATCAGAAAATGTAGAGGGAAGCCTGGAAGGTGAAACATTTCTTTAGGAAATGTATCCCATTCATCCAAATACTGGATATCCTCCTGTTTGCACTTGTGTTTTCGCAGATCCACTTGTAAATTGGTGGAGGAGGATGCCGGTCAGACCTGGCGGGCTCAGAGGTGTTGTGAGGGTCTGCTGGGAACGTCTGGCAGAGTCCCCTGTGAGACGGAGCTTTAACTCCCTTCTCCGGCAGAACTTTGAACACGATCCGGAAGAGGTGGGGGACATTCAGTCTGAGTGGATCATGTTTCATGTCTCCATTGTTGAGGCGGCTTATCAGAGCTGTGGCCGCAAGGTTGTCTGCGCCTGTTGTGGCAGCAACCCTGTTCAAAAAGTCCTGGGTCTTCCCCGGAGCCTGGATTGGATGGTGTGTAACCCTCTCAGGCAAGGTCTATTCAAGGGTCCTGGAAAGGAGGGTCCGTCGGACAGTCAAACCTCAGATTCAGGAAGAGTAGTGTGGTTTTCATCCTGGTCATGGATCACTGGATCCTGGAGGGTGCGTGGGTGTTCGCCCAACCGGTCTGCATGTGTTCTGTGGACTTGGAGAAGGTGTTCGACTGTGTCCCTTGGGGAGCCCTTGGGGAGCCCTTGGGGAGCCCTGCGGTGCCCCATACTCAAAGGCGTTCCCTTTGAGTATGGGGCACCGGGCCCTTTGATTTTGGGCTGTCAGGTCCTCGTATGACCGGTGTCAGAGTCTGGTCCACACTGCCAGCAGTAAGTCGGTCTCGTTTCCAGTGAGAATTGGACTCTGTCAGGCCTGTCCTTTGTCCCTGATTCTGTTCATTACTTTCATGGAAAGAATTTCTTGGTGCAGCCATGGTGTTGAAGGGATCCGCTGCTTTTTGCGGACGATGTGGATTGGCTTAATCAAGTAGTGATCTGCAGCTCTCGCTGGAGCGGTTCGTAGCCGACTGTGAAGTGGCCGGGAAGAGGATCAGTGCCTCCAATCCGAGGCCAGAGTCTTGAGTGTGTATGTTTCGGAAAAGGGTAGAGTGCCTTCTCTGGGTCGGTGGGGATGTCCTGTCCCAAGTGGAGGAGTTTAAATATCTTGGGATCTTGTTCACAAATGAGAGAAGAAGGGAGCAGGAAGTCGACAGGCAAATTGGCCCAGCATCTGCAGTGAAGCAGGCACTGTACCTGTCTGTTGTGGTGAAGAGAGAGCTCAGTCAAAAAGCAAAGCTCTTGATTTGCCGCTCGATCTGCGTTCCTACCCTCAACTATGTTCATGACCGAAAGAATGAGATCACGGATAAAAGCGGCCAAAATCGGTTTTCACCATTGGGTGGCTGGGCTCTCCCTTAGAGATAGGATGAGAAGCTCGGTCATCTGGGAGGGACTCAGAGTAGAGCTGCTGCTTTTTCACATCAAGAAGAGCCAGTTGAGGTGGGTCAGGTATCTGGTCAGAATGCCTCCTGGACGCTTCCCTGGTGAGGTGTTCAGGGCATGTCCCACCGAGAGGAGGCCCCGGGAAAGACCCAGGACATGCTGGAGGGGCTATGTTTCTCAGCTGGCCTAGGAACACCTTAGGATTCCCCGGGAAGAGCTGAAACAAGTGGCTGGGGAGAGGGAAGTCTGGGCCTCCCTTCGTAAACTGCTATCCCTGCGACCCAACCCCGGATAAGCGGAAGAAAATAAATGGATGGATGGATGGACATTTTTCTGTGGAACATAAAATAAAAAATATTTGCAAAAAGTTGCCTGCTTGTGGATTCTGTTGTAGAAAACATTTTTAAGAAAATGCAACATCAGTTCAAATACAACTAGACACACTATAGGCTGGTGTTTGTAAAGCAGCAAGACCAGGCACACCACTCATTTTATTTGGTGCTAATTGGCTGAAAGACCATAGATGTTAGCTTATGCATAGCGTTCCCAGGCCATGCATGATTTCAGCGTTTCCAGCTCATATTATGAAACCAAAGGGTGTGACTTACTGGTAAGTAAAATGCAGAAAACGTGTGTGGGATTTTTCGCTGTATATGAAGTGAATTACCAGAGTGTGCTTTACTCTCAGTCACAAACCTCATACAGGGTGTTTCAATGTAGTCAGTGTTTTAAATAAAAACAATGAGGCTGCTCATCATTCTCAACATATAATCATCATATAACAAACTGCAATATACACCAAATGGCTTTGCTGCTGGCTTTTCAAACAAAAAGACCTATGTTTTATAGAGGACGTAACTCATCATGTCTTCCGTTAAAGAGTGTCACACATTGCAAATCATTGCATGCAAACATGAAACCCTGACGCTGCCCTTTCCTACATTGAATTTTGCTAAAACTAATGGAATAGAATCATTCCAACAGATAGTGTTCCACATCCAGGTGTTTAACACTTATACTATACAAATGACCTCTGTTTAAAAGACCTGTATTTATCACACAGAATGTTTTAGTCATAATAACATCATTCTGTGTGTACTCCCAGTGATCTCAAAGATGCTCCTAAGCCCCATTTACAAGCTCAGATGAAGCAAAGGCAAGGGCAGCTGACCTAAAAGATAACACCCTAAAGACAAAGGTGCAAAATCAATGGTTCACACCTTTTGTCAAGAACAGTTGTTCCTGACTTCATTCTGCAAGTCAGCCTATAAAGCGTAAAAAAGCTGCAATGCTTTTTTTGATTAACTCCGACATGCATTTACTAGCAGCTAGCATACTACCAAAAGAATAATTTGGTGAAACACCAAAACCCTGATGATGAATGTTAATAAAGACTCAAGCAACCCAATGCCATTTGGCTACAACAAAGCCTTAATGCAGTCAGACATTACAGAGTCTTTATGTACAGTACAGACCAAAAGTTTGGACACACCCTTTCATTCAATGAGTTTCCTTTATTTTCATGACTATTGATATTGTAGATTCACACTGAAGGCATCAAACTATGAATTAACACATGTGGAAATATGTATGAAACAACTGAAAATATGCCTTATATTGTAGTTTCTTCAAAGTAACAATCTTTTGCTGTGATCACTGCTTTGCACACACTCTGCATTCTCTTGATGAGCTACAAGAGGTCATCACCTGAAATGGTTTTCACTTCACTGGTGTGCCCTGTCAGATTAATAAATGGGCTTTCTTGCCTTACAAATAGTCATAAAAATAAAGGAAACCCATTGATATAAAGTATATGTGTAAATATACTTTTTCTTTATAGAACAGAAAATGAACAAGTAGAACATGAGAACTTTGAGCAAAAGAATATACAGGACAGAAGCAACAATCGAGAAGAAATTGGAGAGAAGAAAGAAAAGAGGAAAGAGTTTGAATATAGAAATTTAAAGAGGGAAAAGTAATGAAAATCTAGAGAATAAATAAAAGCAAAGAATGGATACAGAAATAAGGAAATGTAAAAGGGAAAAAGGGACACAGGAAGAGGACAAAAGAAAAAATAGAAATACATAAAGACAGAAAGGAAATGGGCAGAATGATGTGAATAAGAAAGTGATGTAACATGTTCTGAAAGGGAAAGTCCAGGAGGTCCATAAAGTCATAGATAGAAAGGTTGAATGAGTCATATTGGCAGCTATGGCTCTTCACTGAATGATTGTCAGATTTATGAGGGTTTGTAGGATACTCTTCATGGGTATTACAAAGATATTCATAAAAGTTTGGTGAACATCATTCATTCATTATTTATTGATTCATTCTGTCATGCTAATAAATTCATTTCTCACAAATTGTGCACAAATCTCTTCATCAAAAACACACTTAATGCTGAAAGGTGAATTTTTCATTTCTATAAAACAAGAATTCTGAACTGAAAAAGGAACTTCATATTTGTAGTTTGTTTTTTCTGCGTTAGCTTTTAATGTCAAAATATAAAACAATCCTTTTGTATGAAAATGGGAAGTTTTATTCTAACACACACAACGCCATCTGAGCCCCAATGACGATGCAAATAACAAATGCGAAACATAATGCTGCACACTCACAGGCGTCAAATTAAGCTTCATTCGTTATTTGCATACGCAGAACTTGGCTCATATTTTGCTTTTATATTAATGTGTGTATGTACATGTCGCCCTGCCAGTGAATGATAACCACCAGGGAAGCTCCACAGAGCCGGGGGATAAAAGGCCAATAGGCAGCATGACCGAAGACGAGCTCAGCCTGGACACACTGCATTACATGCATGGAGTGAGTGTGTGTGACTGGGTGACTGCATTCAACTCTATGTTTATTATGTTACAGCTATCACTTGTCTTATTTCATTATAGAAAAAAAGAAAATATTTGTGAATTAATTTATCTTAGTTTTTTAAACATTCAGCATTTTAAATGTCTCCCACTACAGTATAAAGATAATGTCTATTGAAAAACAGAGGAAACATGAAATTATGAAATTACAATGTGACATTCTGGATACTGTAAAATGACTATGACAAGAGTGGCAGTAGATGGACAGTCGATGGGCCTGAAGTTAATATTAAAGCCTCGCTATGGACAGACAAGCTCTCTAAATTGCTCTCTAAGTTGTAATGGACAATCAGGGCGTGTACATGTCTATGGTACAGTCTACTGAATTATGTTGGACATAAACTGTTTAGGCTTATATCTTCAAAAGCAGCTGTTACAGCCCGTCTCTCTGATGATCAGTTTGCGGAATGATACAATATACATATCTGCATTAAATCAACCATTTGTTCTTCTTTGTAAAAACACTTCTTTGTAAAAACACTGTATCTATGCAGCTAATAAAAAATAGCTGCATAGATACAGAGAAAAGAAATTAATTTGACAGAAAGGGTTTTCTGTGCTTGCCTGCTGCTCCTGTTGTACTTCCTGGAGGATGATGGGTAGTGGAGTCCCCTCAGCCTGACTGACATCGTCTCAAGGGCGACTTGCTGGATGTTGCATTGAGTTGAATTTCGCTGCACCTGAAGAACACAGGACAAAACTTTATGAAAGCACACAAAATATGTATCCACTAATATTCTCTTTATTAACCTGGCATCATTATGATTTAGCCGGTTTTAGGTTTTTAAATAAAACCTAAAATAGCTTGACGAAAAGCTAAATGTAACTTTCTTCAAACTAAATATAACTTTCTCAAGTGTGGAATAAAAAGTGGAAACAAATGTATGTCTAAGACCAAAATGATTCATAAGCCTGACAGAAAGTAATCTAACTTCACCAACATGTTTCTTCTAATTGTAAAGAATAAACACATGTAGAAAAATGTTTCAAATTTCAATGTCAACTTTATTTAAGTAGCATTTAATAAACAAGTTGCACCAGCATGAAACACAGAAAGAACAATAAAATAATTGATAAGAATAGTGATGACAGAAACACAAAAGACAAATAAAAGAAAAATAATGAAATTAGTTCTATGCCAATATCAATTGACAAGTTTGAAGACAAACAAAATACTTGCCTACTAATCTGTCTGTTACCGCATTACTAGAGGCTGGGATTTCAAATGCAGTTTAAAGGTACTTTATCATATCCATGACTCAACAGTAACCAGAACATCAGGGCATAAAAGTGACTGAATGAGAAAACAATCTGAAATCTGTTGGCAAAGCATGCTGTCCTCAGGGTCCACTGGAGAGTCCATGCAGGACTGTGTAGAGTCAGTCAAGAACTTTTCTAATACCCTGAAAGATGACCTAATCAAAAACTTTTGAGGAATGCAGATACAACATTTGTACAGTGGAAGCGATTACGACATGACCAGAGGCTCAGAATCAAAGTAACAAATCAAGCAAGCCATGTCTCCTTTGGAGGAACAGAGAGCCTCCAAAGGAGGGGATGAACACACCCCCTGCCAGGTGTGATTAGCTGTTTGCTGTAAGAATACTGTGTGTGTGTGTGTGTGTGTGTGTGTGCGTGCAGGCGCGAGTGGGTGCGTGTGCATGTATGTGGTGTCCTCTAAAGCCCTGTAAGCGGCCAGCAGCCCACTAGAGAAACACTCCAGTCTTATCCTCCTGTCTCGTCTCTTGAGTGACAAAACATTGTATCTCACACACTCAGCCACACACCATCCATATGCTACAGGTTTATTATAGATGTGTAATGTACTCTGAATCCACAAATACAAATCTTGTCATCACAAATTACTCTCGGACCTGCATTTATCATAAACAGCTTTGTTCTAACACAAGCAGCCGCTCACACACACAAACTTTCATCAGGCTAGCACAAATGTTCTCATAAAGTCACACAAGCTCACAAATTGACCACGAATTGCTGCAGACACATGAACACACACATCACAGCAAGTCGTTTCTAAACACAATCATATAGAGGCACTCAGCACGCGGCTCAGATGTAATTGCATACAAACTATATGGAGATGAGGCTCCAATTGAACCAATGAAGGAAGGCTGAGTGTGTACAAATAGCGAGGCAAACACACACACACACTGCTTTTTCCCCATTCAGTAACAATCTGAATAAAGTATTGGCGCGCGGAGTTGCGTTTACCATCCGATCTACTTAGCAGAGTCGACAGAAGGATCTGGAAAGGTCATCCAATCTGTGGCAGGCAGAGATGCTCAATCAAAGGACTAATAAACAAGCAGGCCATACACAATCAACACCGCTGTCTGGATCACTGTTAAGATGAGAGCATGCTTTGTTTGCACATGCATTGCTGTTGCACAAACAAAGCTAACTGAAGAGGAAAAAAAAGAAAAGACTCTCACTCTGCCTAATGTCTCCTCATCTTCCCTCATTATTGTCCTGCACGTCCATCTTGGTTTGTATTGACAGGCTGTTTGCTGCCTGCCTGGTCAGTGAGTCAGGCTCTAGATCAGTTGCATCAACATTTTTTATGTGCTAATGTATACACAAATTAAACTATGTTTACAATTTGTTCTACATGTTAATAAAAACTGCTTATTTGAATCCCTTCTTAATTTTCAATGCAAAAGTCTGGCATAAAAAGATTTTTGAATGTTTCCACTTTTTTTATGGTTTATTTTTGGTGATAAACTCCAAATGCTTTAGGCTGGAAAGCTTCTCTCCAATCGCTCCTATCTTTAGCTCCCTCCAGAGATGATAGGTGTGGAATGCCAAGTGAATACAGGGCCAATATCGCCAATACAGATACCAACACTTACTCTTATTAAAGAATGATACATCATCAAACTTCTGTCCTTCAATTATTTGTATTGTTTGTCCTTTGAATTATTTTCTTAAAATACAGGAAAGGAAATTGGTCAAAGTTTAAATGCATCTACAAAATAATTGAACAACATATGAACAATAGAAAAACACAGCAAATTTTTGGGAATGGTGTTGTAAATGAATATTGCAAAAAAAAATTATAACATTTGAGAGAAAAAGTGCATCCATCCAAAAATCACATATTAGAAAATATCAAGACAAATTATTTTTTTATGGTCAAATTTAGAAACTACATTACAAAAATAATATAAAATTTCAGTGGGGAATCAGAAATTAAAGTGTCAATATTATAACATTAGCATCAATCAATTGATAGTTTTCAATTGCATTACTATTTGAATTAATCTGCCGACCTCTGCCAGAGATTCTCTATGAGGCTCAGCTGGGGATTGGCTCACTTTAAAATATTATTTTGGTCAACCAACCATTTCTTCACCACTTTAGTTGTGTGTTCTTGGTCACTCTGATGCTCAAACCCTTTTTGCTGAGAGAAATAAAAAACCAAATACTGCTTAAATTAAAAGAACATTTATAGAAAAAGTTAAGATTTTAATAGTCAGTGTATTTTCACTGCTAGTTTGCAGTGTATTTTCAAAAAATACACTGCAAAAATCTGCATGGTTTATTTCTGCAATTGAATTTTGACATACACATATGCCTGCATTAAAGAGAGTGTTTACAGCAGGAATAAATACTGTAGAGATTGGAAATTATTTTCTGTTTGTCCATTACTCAAAAAACATACAACAGATGGGCCTTGTATATTTATGCATAAGTGGATTTTGTTCTCCGACTTAATGGGTGAATCCTGGGTTTTCAATTGCATTTTTAGGGCTGCTAATAGACACACAAATCAATAAGAATCTGCCTCACTTGATGAATGAGGAGGGCTTCCCCTAATGCGTCCCATCCACACGCAGACACATGTATCCAGCAAGCAGTTCTGGATGTGAATGCTGTGAGAAATGTGCCGCTCATAAATGTGCTGAATCAAGACATTTTAGGGTTTTTTGTTTTCATGTCAGAGCCAATTTATCCAGCATCTTTAGAAACCCTCAGAACCCCATGTCTCTTGGAGTGCAGGCCCAGATTTTTGTGTTCTTCATGTGTAAAACCTATGTGGAGAAAATGTCTGTTGATCTTCTGCAGGGAGAGTGTGGCTTGATCTCTAATGAATGTGCAGGTGTTTGTGCTTGTTTTTCCTGTTGTTTGTGTGTGTTTACGTGTGAGCGTGTGTGTCTCCTGGGGTTTTCCTGGGGCTATAGCTGCCAATCACACAGCTGTGTAAAGACTGAGACCTGAGAAGTAGCACCATCCAATCAGTCTGCACAACCCAAAACACACATTCTTCTTCTCAGGTTAATTGAGATAAAAACACTACAATGAGTATACCACAGATGACTTCATCACTAAGCTCAAGAGCAGCACTGCATTAGTATTACATTAACAATGAGCTTAGTGTGTAGATTCCAGCTGCAGTCTCATATCTGCAGACAAGACAGTTTGCTGCAGTTTTCCTTCCTGTCCTCTGAGGTGCATTGATGATCACAGCCGGTCTGTAATGGACTGTATAACAGAATAAAAAAAGTCTTTACTAATACTTATTATTGCTGTAGTCTGAACTTCACTAGTTATCCAGGTGTCATTGAACAAAACATAATGTAAAGAGCATTTATTTACTCAAATGACAGAAAAGCTCAATTACAGGCTAATTCTATTAGAATCAGTTGTTCATGATCTACATGTTGCTTTATTATTAGATTGAATATAATTTCAGATTTTTGCATGATTTTGTCCAGGTTAACTTGAGCTATTGTTAATCTTTTAAACCATAGATAAGTAACCGTTAGGGACATATAAATATGACAAATTATTTTATATGATCAAATTTCTTATTTGATTACTCAATTAATAGTCAGAATAATCGATGGATGGACAGAGAGAATACTATGATAAAATTGTTAAAATTCATACGTTGTTAAAATTCAACGTATGCATTTAATTTCCAGCCTATCATAATTTATCAAACTTTATCACATGAAATATCTTAAGTGTCATGTGATAAGCATTTTTGCAGTTATGTGATGCATTAAATAAAACAGTTTGAAGACAAACTGTTTGAAGACAGTTTGTCTTCAAACTGTCCCCCATTACCTCCCTGGAGTGGTAGTGGGGGGCACTACCACCACAACATTCCCTCTCCATGTGGTAAGACAAGGTCATCCTGTTTACTGCTGGTATTTCCTCACCTTCCTGTAGATCTAATGATTACAGAAGGTGATGAAAGACAGAAGCACTGATCAGAATGAGTCTCTGTTCTGTCCAGAGACACACGATTCAGCCACCACTCTGCTCTGTTCATGCCCTGGACCTTAACTTCACATGTTAAATAACCTCACATATGACATGTGGGCATAAAAGTATCTGTATATTGTCTAAGTCTATCATCTAAGGTGAGAGATTTCAGCAAGTGGGTGGTTTTGTCTTGACAAAACAAAGCAGTCGGTAATGATACAGGATCAATAATGGATATGAGACAGCACACACTGTGGAAGCTAGCAGTGCAATTTGACATCTGACATGATTCAATTAATATTTTCACCATGGCAAACAATGTAAGAAAACAATAACAAAACAAACATCAGCAAAACAAACCCTTCTGCCATTTTACTATACCAAATTATTCAATTATCAATACAAGAACTGCTACAGAGATTAAGAAAAACATTTCAAAAGTCTTATT